CCTCCAGGAGACCCAAGTCTACCGGCTGCTTCTTCTCTGACATGGCGACGACGCTTCGCGCCCTGCACCTCCCAGATGAGTAGGAAAGTTGGCAGTCTCAGGATTCAACGAAGCCGCCACAGTCACTGCCGCCTCGGAGGCCGGTTCTACCATAGAGACTAGGGGGAAAGAGCTACGAAAGCGGCGCGAGGGATGCTGGGATACTGGAGGTCCGCTGGGCGCTTCCTGCGGGCTCAGCAGTTCTTAGGAGATAGGAAAGTGGATTCCTTTTTCTTTACCATATTAGGTGGATTCTCTGAATTGCCAGAGTTGAGACCAGTACGTGTTTCCTTGACTGGGAAAAACATACACAGAAAAATTGCACACCTAAATCTACTCAGTTTACACCTGAGGAAGGAAATGTAGAGAAATGAAGTGATTGCTAATATTCTTCCAAGGCCTTGTGAGTGCCAAGCTCTTAACACAGGTCACCTCCGGTCCTAACACCAGGTCCCTAAGCTTGACGTTAAGTATCTCCACGTCACAAAAAATTCAGATTCAGAAATAAACAGCTGAAGTAATTCAGGCAGTGCTAGACAATGCAAATACAGATTTGTTTGCCTGACTCCAATCTCCCAAGTTGTCCCTCAAGCAAAGTTTATCAGTCTTGGAATTACTTCCTGTTAAATGATCTGTTAGAGAGTGTGTGTAGTAATTCTAGTTTAGGTTATTATAAAATACTACTATGTAAAAATGGACATCCGTAGCATTTATGGTGTTCAAAGTACATCATTTAGGATTTTTTAAACAGTATTTGAGTATCATTTCTAATATAGTGGTGAACTATAATATATTGAACTCAATATGTAAGATATATATGGATATGTAATATGGATGAATATTGTAGAATCTACATAAAAACAATATCATAAATCTTGATTGATTTTTTTATATATTTAAATTCCATTCATTCATACAAGTTTAGTTCATATAATGTGCCTAGCACTGCATCAGACATGTAAGGACATGGGTCTTTTGTTCAAAGTGTTTATATTTTACTCAGAAACATATAAACATAAACCACAATAAAACATAGTAATCCATTTTAATCTTCGTTTTAAAGTAAAATTGTATGAGAAATGAAAAGAGTGGGAAGTATAGATAGTGGAGCAACTAAATAGAGAACAGATTTGGAAGAACTACAATTAGATGTAATTTTTACAATATATGGTCGTTCTGCTACAATTATGATCTATATTGGTTCCTGAAAAATATTGGTAGTTTTCAAATTAAGTTTAAAGCATATGTAATTTGGAATACTATATAAACAAATACCAAGTTAATTAAAGAAAAAAGTTAAGGGAAATTGAAGATTGGAAGTAAATGTAAAAAGTCAATAGTATATTTCTGCAAATTAAATTTCTTTGTATGGTAGCATTTGTTAATCTTGATGAGGTCTCAAGAATTTTTACTCTCTAGCATCCCAAACCTCTGGGAACCACACACCAAAGTTAAAGCTTTAGGCAGGTGGTTTGATTTAGACAGCAAAGGATAAAAAAGCAAATCACAGATGAAAGAAGCCAACCATTTTGTGCAAAGGTAAAAGACTGGCCCAAGGACAAATCCATAGAGACAAAATGTAGATTAATTGTTGACAGCAGAGGAAGAAAACTGAGGGCAACTACTAATATTGACAGGTCTTTTTGGTATGATAGAAATGTTCTGGAGTTAGTGATGATAATTGCAAAACATAGTGAATACACTAAAAACCAAAATGGTAAGTTTTATGTTATGTGAAATATATCATAATTTTTTTTGGAAAGGTTTTAGCTATATGGCATGTGCAATTGCCAGAAAGACAGAGACAGAGAGACAGAAAGCAAGAAATCCCCCCCACCAGGGGGGATGGCTACGCCACAATCCCTTCTCCTCCATTCTCCTCACAGGACATTGGGCATGCACATGCACGCTCTAGGAATGAATTTAAACCACTGGGTCTAGGACTCGAACCATGGTCAACTATGTGGGAGTCCAGTAGCATAGCCATTACACCAACTGCTGGCTCCTCTCAATTGTTTTAATTGCTATTAAATAAAGATTTCAATAGCATTTTAAAAATTAATAATAATAGGAAAACTGTATGTCCACATGCAGAAAGTGAAATTAAACCCTTATCTTACATGGTGCACAAATACCAACTCAAAATAGACTGAAGACTTAAATGTATTACTTGGCACTGTAAAACTACTATACCCTAACATGAAAATGTGAAATCCTAAATTCACCCAAATCAGAAAGTTTTTGAGCTCTGACATGGCATCAAAAGTGGAAATGGCACACTTTACGTCATGCCCCAGTTTGCAATCAAAATGGTGCAATATAAAAATATGTGAAACTACCTTCTGTCTATGCATATGTTAAAAGAAAAATAAACCAACCAATTTAATAGAGTTTTAGTAGAGCAAATCTTAACATGATTTAAATCGAGCACTTGTCCCCAAACTTTGGACAACTTCGACCAACTTGGCATTTAAGTCGGAGGAACAGCAAAGTGTCGTACAGAAAACACAAGTGAGGGAGTGAGGTAGAGAAATCATTGATTACATTCTGAAAACTGTCTGCATTAACATGGTTTAAAAGGCAGGATGCCTGTGATTGACGGAAGCCTACCTGCTATCATTGGTTATAATCTAGCAATCAGCACAGGAAAAAACAAAACAGCCTAACATGTACATTTTTGGCTTATCCATATCCATAGAAATCAAAGTGTGGGAGTACAACAGCTGTTTTAGGCCAAAATAGTTTAACATATGTGAGGTATACATGAAAAATAAATAAATTTCCTATTTAGACTTCATCCTACCCCCAAGATAGGTCATCAAATATATGAAAGTTTTCTAAAATATTTTAAAAATCTGAAATCTGAAAGACTTCTTGTTTCAAGCATTTCAGATAAGAAATACTCAACCTGAAGAAAAACATAGAAGAAAAGGTCCATGACATAGATCTGAGCAATGACTTTTTGCTTATGACCCCAAGCACAAGCAACAAACTCCAATAAATATATAAATAATAAATAGAATTACGTTAAGTGAAAAAGCTTTTGCACAGCAAAGGAAATAACAAACTCACAAGAAAACCTACAAAATGAGAGAAAATATCTGCAAACCATACATCTGATAAGGGGTTAATATGCAAAATATATAAGGAACTCAAGCAACTCAATGCAAGAAAACAAATAATTCAATTTAAAAATGGACAAATAACTTGAATAGGCCAAGAAGACATACAAATAGCCAACTGCATTTGCAATGATTCACAACTTCACTAATTATCAGGGAAATTGAAATTAAAATCACAATGAAATATCATCTCATATCTGTTAGAATGGCTGTTACCAAAAAGACAAAAGAGGGCCAGCAGATGGTGTGGTGGTTAAGGGTGCTGGACTCCCACATGGCCGACCATGTGTTGAGTCCTAGACCTGTCATCTTGCTTTCTCACTTTCCCTCTCTCTCTCTCGCTCTCTGTCCCTCTCTGGTCAAATTAAAATGGATGAATAAATAAAATTAAATTAAAATTAAAAGTAATTCTTAAAAAAATAAAAGACAAAAGATAACAAGTGTTGGTGAAAATGTAGAGAAAATGACAGCCTTACAGATTGTTGGTAGATATGTAAATTAGCACAACCATTATAAAAATAGTATGTAGTTCAAAAACAATTTTTAAATAAAAGTACCTTATGATACAGTAATTCTACTATTTGGGTATATAACCAAAGGAAATGAAACTATTATGCCACTCCCATGTTCATTGCAGCATTATTCACAGCAACTAAGCTATAAAATCACTCTAACTGTCCATCAATAGATGAATGGATAAAGAAAATGAGTATATTTACACAAAGAATACTATTTGGCCTTAACAAGGGAAGAAATCTGTCATTGGCAACAACATGGATAAATCTAGACATCATGTGGAATCTACAAAAGTCAAATTCACAGAAGCAGATAGTAGAATAGTGCTACAAGGAAGTAGGCAGTGAAGATGGGGACTGGGGAGATGTTGATCAAAGAGTACTAAGTTTCAGTTAAACAGCAGGGAAAAGTGTAAGAGATCTAGTGTATATCATGGTAATTATAGATAATAACAATATATCATATACTAAAAAGTTGCTAAGAAAGTAGAGTTTCAGGGTTCTTGCCACAAAAAAAAGGAAGTGAGGTAATATATATGTTAATTTCCTCAGCCAATTCACCATATATACGTATTTCAAAACATGTAACATAAATATATATAATTTTTGTCAGTTAAAAAGTATTTTTATTGGGGCCAGCAGGTGGTCTGGTGGTTAGGATGCTAGACTCCCATATGGCTGACAGTGGTTCAAGTCCCAGACCTGGTGGCTTGCTTTCTTGCTTTTTCTATTAATCTCTCTCTCTCACACACACATATGCTCTATAGCAAAATTTAAAAATAATAATAATGACCAGCAGGTGGTGTGGTGGTGGAGGCCCTGGACTCCCATATGGCTGACTGTGATTCAAGTCCCAGACCCAGTGGCTTGAAAATCACAGAAAGTACATGTGCATGCGTGCCCAAAATCCCAAGAGAAGAATGGAGGAGAAGGGATTGTGGCATGGCCATCCCCCCACAATGTGTGTTCATCAGAAAGAGACAAAAAAGAGAGAAAAAGTGGAAAAGCACCCCTCACAGGGAATAGATACAACACAATCACTTTTCAATTTCAGTACACATGCATATGTGTCCACTATTATTTTGAAGCTGCAGGTCCAGGACTTGAACTGTACAGTCAGCAATGTGTTATCAAGCTACCTTAACCAGCACACCATGGGCTGAACCCCCCCAAAAAAAAAATTTAAAGAATTTAAAAGAAAAAAAAGATTTTTTTCAAAGAATACAAAAACTTAAATTCTATTTCTTGGACCTGTTATTTAGCTTATTTGATATATAATGAAGTTTGTATTAATCTTCAGCAAAAGAAGAAATCAACAGGCTATAGTGATTTTTCTCCTAAAGCTATATTTATTCAATTTAAAATGTTGACCTCCCCCTCCCTTTTTACCCCCACTTTTGCTGGTCCATAAACTTTAGAAACCACTTAATAATTTCTTATCTCAATCATCATAGCAAAAACAAAAACACAAAAATAA